CAGTGATTCTTTAGTTTATCTCTCAGGCTCGTTGGTTTTGATCTTATATTAAAGAACAGCAAATACTTTAGGTTTGTCCCGATACGAATTTTTCCATCCCAGATCTTTGAAGACAACAATACTGACCTGATAAAAGGTCAGCAGTAATTATACACACTTTTCACTAGTTGTTTTATAGAGTGGAATGATAAAAAGGGGGGTGACTGAGTGATATTTCGCAAACAGAGAACAATAATTAAAGCATCAGGTATGAGAAGAGCTGAGTTATGTTTATAAAATCTTGTTATTCATTTTCTGGCTGATATCAAACTGATTTCTGAAATAAATATCAGGACAGCCCTATAACATCCTATACTCATCCTACAACCATTGATTATGAACGTTTTATAACCAAAGATAGATCAAATATACTAAACTTGATATTGTGTATTTGCTGGATGAAATATGTTTATTTATTCAATGCTTACAAAAGACTTTTATCACCTAAAGAGTAGGGTTGTCAAAAGTATCGATACTCAAAAAAGTATCGATACTGAAAAGTTGTATCCAGATACAATACTCGTTTTTAAAAGTATTGATACAGTTCCACCACCAGTGGCACCTAAGCAGTCATTCATCTTATGCGCAGATTAGAAGACAATGCACTTTCAGAACACTGTGTGATTGAATAATTCTGTGCACTTTTCAGTTTCAGACTTTTTTTTTGTAACAGTTGCAGCTGCTGAGAATTATTTTTGATTTTTAACCAGTTTGGCCAGTGTCATTGTTATGTGTGTAAAGCATAGCCAAGGAAGGGACACTTAACTTTAATTTTGTAAGTTTTTTATCAAGCTTGCTTAATATTGTGCACAGCATACAACCTCAAAATATTATTTATTGTATTTATTTATCTATTTATTGTATTTAATTAAAGCTACAGTGTGTAATTTTCAGCGACATCTAATGTCCAGACTGTAGACTGCAGCAACATGAACATTTCCCCCCCACCGCTTCTCCCCCCCAACAGTACGGCGAGCGTTACGGGACAAAATGTCTTCCACAACGTCCGCATCACCTACCTTCTCAAGTGATGAGGTTTGTTTACATAGATAATTTTAATACTGCCATCTATTGTTCAGTACCGTCTCAGTTCATCTCTCTCAACTTGCCGTAGTTACTTTCGAGCGTAATGGGCGATCTCGCAATCGCTAGTTTATTGGCTCTGGGCTGCCGTAGCGCAAAGATGTCTGCCTCCATGGCTGCGAGACCCGCTCCTATGTAATTATAAATAACGAATTCTAAGGCAACGCAAATATTAAGGTTAAGAGGCTGAGCTCGTAGATGATGATAAATAACATAGTTATGTATAATATATTACATTTCTGACTGTATATCCCTGTAATTATTACACACTGTAGCTTTAATGAAAAAAAATTCTGTTGAATTTTGGAGTCTTTGTTTTTATACTTGTGGTATCGAAAATGACATCGGGTATCGAATATTTTACTTAGTATCGGTATCGAGTTGAAAAGTTTAGTATCGTGACAACCTTATTAAAGAGCATCTTCAGGATTAAAGGACCAATGTCTCTTAATAAACATATTCCTGCTTTGTTCATCTTCAGTAGAATTGATCCCTGCAGTGGATCCAGAATGCTGCTGCCTGCATCCTCACTAGAACTAAGAAAGTAGAGAACATCAGCCCAGTTCTAAAGTCCACTGGCTCCATGTATCTCAGAGAATTTAATTTAAAATCCTTCTGTTACTCGATAAAAATGACTGAATGGCTGAGGCACAAAATATAAAACAGACTGTTTGTCAGTGGAGGAGCAGCCACATGTCTCAGATCTACTTGAAACAGCAGGATTTTTAAAATAAATCTGTTTATCTTGTGGAACTTTAAATCATTTCTAACAAACCAGATCTCATGTTATGATGATGATAAGTGCTTACGTTACCTTTTAGCCAAACACTTTTTTAAATGCTACTTCTTACTTTTACTGAGAAGTGATGAATTAGTTCTGTTGTTACTGAAGGAAATGTCTGATCATTTGTCCTCAGAACTTTTTAACTGTTTTAATCTTCTCATATAAGCTTTAAATCATTCAATGTCATAAACTGATTTAAAAAATTCTAGAAATTTTCTGAGCAAACTGAGTCTAAATGCTGGTAAGGAAGCAGGTTTGTTTTAATTCTGCAAGGAGCAACAGGAATTATTTCTGCATCATTTATCCAGGAGAGACTAGAGGAAGATCCTCCTGAGGAGCCGTGTGGTGAGGGATTCTAGATCTGTATTAACGTAGAAGCTACAGAAACATAGAAACAGATCATTAATTCCCCGGTTTAAAATGAGTGAGGGAGCTCCCCCTGCAGGACAAAGCCTGTAACAACGTCCCCAGTGATCAAACAGAAACAGGTTGGTTTTAGACCATCAGGGTTAAAATAATGATCACTGGTTTCCCTCTAGGCTCAGAGGCTCCATGTTTAGTCGTGTTTCTCTCCCAGATGAAGCCGCTAATGAAACTCCTTCCTGTTTCACATCTCAGTCAGGGTGTAGAACCTGAGCTTTAACAGATGAAGCCCTGCCGCCTCCTCTGACTCACCTGACTGGAGAATTTCTGCTAATTTCTTAATCAGACCTGCAGCTCAGCATCTAACAAGAATGTTGTGGTTCTGATTCTGAGCAGCAGGTTCCTGTTTAGCTTACAGACCGTCCAGCTGAGGTGAAGCTTTTCTACTTGCCATACAGAGGATGAGTGTTTGGGTCCAGACCTCAGTGGTTCTGTAGGATCCTCTAGTTTTAAATGCTGACATTTGAACACATGGACCCCACAGCAGCAGGTTTCTGCTCCTCCTATAGAACTGAAGGAAACCCAAATCCAGCTCAGATCAAACAGATTTACTGAAGCAAACATATTTACATAAAAACTGATGACAGTAACGGATCAAACTGAGCTCAGTTCAGTGTTTGTAGCAGTTCTGAAATGTTCTCATCGAACTGAAATCCAGTCCTTTTGAACCAGAATCCGACAGGGTTTCCATGGAGATCCTCAGCAGGAGGATCTACTCCCTGTCCGCTCTGTATGAACACTCCGGATTTGGACCTCGTCTTCACAAACAGCAGAATCCCGCTACGTGTTCCTTCCGACCAGAACAGCTCCGTGCACCGACGTCCTCAGTCCTCCGGCAGGACGGTGGTCCTCCTCTCCAGCAGCCAGGTCGCTGCGATCCTGCTGGCGTAGATCACATAGGACCAGGACAGAACCACCACCGCCAGTAAGACCTGGAGGATGGAGAGGAAACCAGAACCCGCTGATCAGAACCAGCTCTGATGAGAATCTCTGGAGGCCTGCAGCTGCTCTAATCCAGAAAGAAAAATAAATGATTTCCACCTTTAGACCTGCCAGTCTTTAATCAGAGCAGATCTGAGGAAAACAGTCCTATAATGGGAACTTTATTGTCAGCTAAAAAAATTAAATAAAACTTTTAAACTGTTTTGAATAACTAATCCACATCCAATCTGGGTTTTTTTTTTTTTTCAGAGAATTTCCATTAATCAATGTCACTTCTCTGGCTGTATAAACTGACAGGTTCATTTGCTGGAGGGTTTAGTTTCTATTTGTATTCAGGTGAATTTAGTTAGTTTGCAAAACTCGTGTTTGGTTTGGTTTGATGTTAACTAGTCTCTTTTTGTGTGCAATTTTTCATTAATTTATTGCTTGTTTCTTAAAAAAAATGTCTGAAATAAATTCCTATTCATTCATTCAACATTTAGTGACAAGATGGAGCTGTTTCCACCTGGTTGCCATGGTGACGTCAGCTCCTCATCAACCAGGAGAACTTTATTTATTTCAGGATTTCATTTCAACATAATTACTTTATGTTAAATTTAATTATCGTCGGATGCATTAAAATAACTTTAATTTGCGTTAAAATGGGGCTAAAAAATGTTATAAAGAAAGATTTAAACAGGAACAATCAGCTAGCTTCCATGTTAGCATAGCCATGAGGATATTTCCACTTATTTTTCTAACGTTACTTTAAACCAGGAATCATCATCTGTTTTTTTTTTAAAGGCAGATCATATCAAAGTGTTTTTACCACAGAGTAAATCCTGTCCAGGGTTCTTCTGCTCACAGTCTCCATGGTTTGTTTATCCTGAAGCTCCTGCTTCTTCTTCTTCCAAATTCCAACACCGCTGAAGGCTCCACAGCGCCACCCAGCGTCAGAGAGGATCAACTGTATGTTAGAGTTGGTTTTCTTCTTAAATATTAAATTAAAATTCCTTACTATGCTGTATATCTATTGTATATATATCTGTTATTTTTAACACACAAATATACAGACAGTCTAGTGGATAACTGTGGTCGCCATAGCAATTTGGAATCCGTCAGTTAATGTTAATTGCTACGAGCTGATATTCTGAAGATAAACTAAGGAGAATAAATTACAGACACGCAGCATATTTTTATCTATTGTTCATGAAAATTCAATAATACGCTATTTATTAAATGATATCAGGTTAATTCAATTTTGTTTAAAGCGCGTTAAACTGTGGAATAAATTGAGTTGCTTCTGCGGATAGTACAGAGAATACATGTGTTACTATGGTAACCAAACAGAGAACTGAACAATAGGAGATGCCTCACTTTGAGCCCCGGCGGTGCTTGTTTTTTTTTTTTTTTTTTTTTTTTTTTTTTTTTTTTTTTAAAGACATAACAGTCACCGTTTAATAAGTGTAAAATAGTTTGAATTAGTGAAAATTAGATAAGATTTTCATATCTTAGCTTCATACACTACCTCACAAGGATATTCCAAAATAAAACGATTTACTGAGAGAACCTAAATTAGTTAAAAAATATATATAATAGGTAATAAATATAGATTTAAAGATATATTCAGAAATATACAAATAACAAACTTGCTCTAAGATTCAACGAAGCAGCCGAATAAGCCTCATAAATAGTGAGCCCTCTTTCTACCGTGACGATCTTTGGCTTAACAGAAAAAAACCTGACATTGGTTGTTTTCCCATCATCCCCCGCTGCTTTAGCCGCAGTTGGGAACACAGTCGACCGTAGACCCTGATGTTTCGGTACCCAGCGGTCTCCAGGTTCTGAACGGTTCTGGATATCTGAGCTGGAGACAGCGGGACATCCCTGCTGACGGTGGATGCCGCTCCCGGTGCGGAGGTCGACCCGGAGAGGAAGGAGAAAAGGCCCCGATGCGGATTGTTTAGCAGAGGTCTGTGGAGCTAACAGAGTTAGCATGCTAACAAGCTATCAGGAAGACAGGAAATCCAACAAAGGCTTTTAAAGTTTTAGTATCAGACTCGTTATATCTAACTGCTGGGATGAAACATAATGGGTTTAAAACAAAGACTTCTGCTTTACAGCTGTTTCTTTAAATATTTACATCTGTTAGCCTGATGCTAACTGGTTAGCATTAGATAGTTAAATATGCATTTCTAGGTTTAAGTTTAGATTGTCTAATAGAAAAAAGACATATAATCTTATAGATTCTTATCCAAACAGATGATTTAGATGTTATACATGTAGTTCAGTGGAATTTCAGCCTGTTTGTGTTTTTAGATGAGCTGATTTTAGAGGAAGCTGTGGTTTGTTTTGGGTTCTAGGCAGAGCTAATGCGGTTATAACAGCAGGATGGGACATATGATGATGTTTATTGTTGGTTTGCTGTCATTCATACTGTAGAACCCAAACCTTTACATTTATCCAGGGCTCCTGTCTGCTTGGTTCCCTGCTCAACATGATGTTTGTTTCCAAAGCTCTGTGGATCAAATCCAGATTGTCATTTAGATCAGCTTCACTAAAGGTGGAGAATTTTTCTTTCTTAAACAATTCTCAGACTCACACAAACAGACTCTGTTGGCCAGTCAGGTGATGTCTAAAAGCAGATGGTAGCACTGGATGTTATTTATAAGGATGTATAGGGAGTATAGGGAAAGCTTTATCTCTGCAACCAAAGGAGATCAGTGGGGATCTGTTAGACAGAGCTTTATAATCTTAGTAAAGATGATTTGAAGTAAAGAACAACAGAACAAACGTTCAGTTTGGTATATAGACAATATCCTGATTCACATATTTTAAAAAACACCTGAACTGACTGTTATTTCTTTCTTTTTTCTGTCTTAATGTTGGCAGTGGGCTTTAGGCTGCCCTGCAAGGCTTTAAACCTCGGTTTTAATGGAGACTAAGCCATTCTCAAGCACATATCAAGGAGCTCATTTTGAACCTGGATCCAGATTTATTGTTGATTCTGTTCATGGTGGAGAATCCTGCTTCACAGCAGCAGGTTGAGCCAAACATCCTCTAAATATGCAGGGTCATCTTTGAGCACCATTTCACTTTTCTTTCACCAGTTCACCACAGTTCTTCCAGCAGTCCACACTTTCTCTGCTCTCTTTTTCTCATCGTCTTCTCCTTCTTTCCCATCGCCCGGCTTGCCACAGGTTTGCCTGCTGTGTCTAAAAGTAGCAGCAGCAGCAACCCAGACTGACAGCTCATTGGCTCATTTGGATCACGTGTAGCCTGGAGCCGGACGCTCCCCAGGGCTTTACTGTATTAACAGGAGAAGCGGCGCAAGTGAAGTTAGATACTGTCATCAGACAACATGCAGTAATTTACTAACATTTTAAAACAGGTTGGGTCTGGATTATCCAGCAGGTGGGTCTGGATCTGGACACTGCTCCACTAATCTGTGACCTCTGTGCTATGTGAAGACCCAGAACTAACCTTGACTCTGAGGGAGACATCTCCAGGGCCTCAGGTGTCATTAGAAAAATTCTGGTGTTTACAGCAGCAAAACAATTATAGCAAACGGTCACACAAATGTGTACCTTAGAAAACTGTTTAAGAATAACATAATAGTACAATACAATAAAGTACTGTACTGTAAAGTGTTTTAACAATATAAAACTGTGCACCTGGAGAATAAATAGCCAATATGCAGCTATGGGCATTTTTACAGTAATTGATATTTGAAAATAGCAGCAACATCAGAGATGTGCAGAATGACAGCAGCAGGTTATTTAACTGACTAAGATAGAAACTGTGCAAAATCAGCATGAATGCAACAACTTATTGAGGTTGTTGGGAACAGTGGCGGTTATAGAGTCTAGCAGCTGCTGGGAGGAAGGATCTGTGATAACGCTCCCTGGTGCATTTAAGGTGCAGCAGTCTGTCAATAAAGGAGCTCTCCAGTTCAGCACCAGCTTCATGCACGGGGTGGGATACATTATCCAACAGAGATGTTCATTTAGTAAGGATCCTTTTGTTTCCCACTTCCTACACTACTGCAGTCAAGTTTATTAAGATGAGCACCCATAGGTTTTAAACCGTACCTTTGGAACCAGGGATGTTAGAAGTTAGCACAGCTGTTATTGCTGAGGGAAACAGCCCAGTAAAATTTAGACTTTAATTTTGTCCTACTTTTGATGTTCTATAATTTGAAACAGTGAACCCAAACAAACTTAATTCACTAGTTTGTGGCGTTTCTCAATATGTCTACTTGTGCGTTCTCGTGTGCTCATGAAACATGAGCATTATTTCACGGTAGCTGAAATGGAAGTCCCAAAAATCTCATTGTATCTGTTGTAGAATATGATGACAATAAAGGCTTTTTAACTTTTTTTTTTTAACTTAAACGTCATCACTATTAGCCCTAGTACTGTTCCAAATTAAAGGAACAGCAGACCGAGAATGGACAAAGTCCCCGGATGTTGTTCTCGCCCCTCCCTTGTTACCCAGCATGCATAAGGGCAGCCTTGTCCGTTCTTGAGACTGACAGCCATCCCAGCATGCACTGCAGCAGCAGCAGCTTTCAATGGAGCGCTCACAGAGCTCAGAGTATTAAGTTAAAAGTTCTCTTTTCTGTTGCTGTTGTGCAATAAAAGTACGTTTTAAGATCATTTGCAGCTAGAATAATATACTTTAAAGTGTCACTATGTGGTCCATTTACCGATTTAATGCATAAATTAAAAAAAGTTCAGATGTTGAGAGGACCACAGCAACCAGCGCACCTCCAAGGCTAACAGCAGCCCGTCTGCAGCAGCCCTCTCTCCATGTGTGAAGGACCGCTGGCTATGATGGCGATTTTTTTGTTTGTTTTTTTGTTTTAATTGGCAAAATGTCCATTTAATTTGTGTTTATCTGACTGTGTTCCTTATTGTTCCCCCACTAAATGACAAAAATAAGAATTTATTATGTAGAGACTATTAATAACAGGAGGGTTAATGCATTTCTTCTCAAGAACATACTTGGTGAGGACTCAAGTCCGTACTCACGTTCTAGTGAATTGAGAAACGGCCTATGTCTTTCTTTTATCAATAACTACATTACAAATGTGAAATATGTAAAGGTAAATAAAAACTCCACAAAACTTTGTTTTAGTATTTTTGGTAAAGATGCCGCCATGTTGCAGTACTTCAGACAGTGATGTCACGGGGTTGGTCGATGCTTCAACTAGCAATTGTGAATCTAGCGATACATCTCTACCATAAAACACTTTAAATGTTTGGTATGATGGACGATGAAGCAGGTTTGTTCACCCTGATATGGCTGCATTATGGTGCCTTTAAGGGTCCATAGATTATAGGATATCTGAGTTTCCTGTGGTTCCTCTGTAGATATTGGGACGTTAACTGGGATCCTGTGATTCTTTGTGCTCAGGTGATGGCGCCAACACGGATGAAGCTTCGTGGGCGTCGGCGTGACGCCCCGGCTGCAGCTGCTCCAGCAGGGGGCGCTGCACTAGAGGAAGATGAAGAGAGACCCAGACGGAGCAGCAGAAGAAAAACCCCTAACAAGGCCCCGCCGTCCGCCGACGCCGCCCCCTCCTCCTCCGCCTCTCCTCCTACCACCTCGTCCGGAACCGTGCGCCCGGCGGTGGCTGCTGAGGCGTCTCCGGATTCAAAATGTCCGATCTGCCTGGACCGCTTCAACAACCTGGCGTACCTGGATCACTGCCTGCACCGCTTCTGCTTCCCCTGCATCCAGGAGTGGTCCCACAACAAGCCCGAGTGTCCGCTCTGCAAGCAGCCCTTCGCCTCCATCCTGCACTCGGTCCGAGCCGAGGACGACTTCAAGGAGTACACGCTGCAGCCGCCGCGCGCCGCCAACCCACTCACCGCCTCCACCTTCCTCACCACGGTGGCGGCCATGACGTCGGACGGCAGCACGCAGCACCACCTGAGGCTGATGCTGAGGAGGCACCTGGTAGCCGCCGATAGGGAGGCCCTTCGCAGGCGGCGCCGCAGGGAGCGGACCGCCGGCGGCAGGAGGTCCAGCGACAGAATGGGGGACTGGGAGGTCTTCATGCACTCCCCTCCCCTCCCTCTCTCGCCGTACCACATGTCGGAGCTCATCATGGAGAACATGGGGATGGAGGAGGCGTTCCGACGAAGGGATGAGGAGCAGCGGCTGGTCCTAAACGAGCTCACGGGGCTCCGAGGCGCGGCGGCCCCCAGCAGCCGGGTGTCCCGGCGGCTGATGTGTCGCCTGGCGAGCCGACAGCGGCTGCAGAGGGAAGGGGGGCTCGCCCAGATGAGCGAGGGGGAGGTGCTGGGCTTCCGGAAGGCGCTCTACCAGTGCGGCATACGGGTTAGGAGCGGCAGCTGTAACCCTTGGCGACAGCGGTCCATCAACGCCGAGTCTTTCCGCCGCAGCAGCAGCCATTTGAACAGACTGCAGGCCTGGCTCCAGCGGGAGCTGGGGGTCCTGCTGGGCTCCCACGCCTCGCTCGCCGACGTGGTCCAGCGCACTGTGACACGCCGGGCCCTCCACAGCGGCCTGGAGGACACCGCCGCTATAGAAGAAGACCTGCGGCCGTACCTGCTGACGCACACCGAGCACTTTGTGCACGAGCTGGTGAACTTCGCCCGCTCCCCGCTGGGGATGGCGAGCTACGACCAGCAGGCAGTGTACGAGCCGCCGTCCAGTGCCATGGAGCTGGACCAGATCAGCACGTCTTCCGACGGCAGCTCCGTCATCGCCATCTCCGAAGGCGAGGAGGAGGGGGAGGACAGGGGAGGAGTGTCCGAGGGGGCGGCAGGGGGAGGTAACGACGATGTCACCCGAACAGGAAGCAGCCTCAGCCTGTCCTGTTGGGACGACGAAACGCCGGGGCCCTCGTACACCTCAGCCGAACCATCGCATTCCTTCACATCGCCGCCACCAATCAGCCCCGCCCCTCAAGAGCCAGCCAATCAGGAGGCAGGAGCGGGCCGCGCTGAAGAGGAGGAGTGTCTGATTGTCGGCTACAAGAAGCCGATCGCTGAACGGACTCCTGAGCTCGTGCACCTGTCCTCCGACAGCGAGGAGGAGGAAGCAGAGAAGAAGAAGAAGGAGGAGGAGGTGGAAGTAGAGGTGGCATCAGCTGCTCCTGAAAAGGCTCCTCCCCCTCTCTCCCCCGCACCTCCCTCTTCCTGCATTCCCGTCATCCCTCCGTCCACCTCAGGCACCTTCAGGGCGGAGCAGGCGGCGGGTGCCAGGGAGGCGTGGAGGAGGCGCTCCCGCTCCTGGTCGGGAAGTTCGGACAGAAGCAGGAAGTCCGTCTGCTCGCTGAGCCCGGACACCCCTGAACGGAGGCGAGGGGGCCGGGAGCAGCGTGGGGAGAGGAGGAAGAAGAAGAAGAGGCGAGGGCGGGACCGTAGCAGAGAGACCTCCAGGCGGAGCGGCTCCTTCTGCAACCCAAACCGCTCCATCTTCCCCCCCATGATGGCGCGCTGCGCCTTGTCGCCATATGACTCCAGTGGCGACTCCGCCAGCCCGCGGGACCCGGGCTGGGAGTTCCGCTTCACCCAGGTGTCCCCCCTCTCTTCCTCCGTCTCCTCCCGTTCCCTCTCCCCTCTCTGCACCTCCCCCCCCAGAACGCCGCCCACCCCCTCCTACTCCCCCAAGCGCCATCACGTAGACAAACCCGGCGGCAAGAGGAAGTACAAGAGCCGCCATCTGAACAGCAGCAGCAGGGACCCCTCCTGGAGGCCGCACAGCAACCGGAGACGGAAGAAGGAGAAAGGACGCAAGGAGGGCGGGAGGCGGGAAAAAACAGGAAACAGGTCGGAGCTCAGATCTCACACTTTCTGTCTGTTCCCATCCATCCAGCTCTGCTTCCCTCATGGACGGTTGATGCTAATTAGCCTCATACCGGTTCTGGTCCAGATGGAGCCAAGCTGGTCAATAAATACCACCGATTGTTGCCTCTCATACTGAGGGTACTATTAGTGCTGCGCTCCTGCCTAGTGGTCGTAGTGAGAACTACACAGCGTCCATTACAGGGCAAACTGGGTCGATTATACCGTCTGAATCTGAGCACTAAAAGTATAGACCAGCTTCCTGATGTCTTTTACAAATTAAGCTTATAAGTAAAAAACTTTAATAAGCTGCATTGAAATTTTTTTTGTTTGTTTTACTTCAAGAACCGGGTCCTTTCTGCTGTCCAGATGGGAATCATTTCCCTTCGGATGTGGTTTTACCCGGTTCAGCTCATGGCTCCAGGCCGGTTCATGGCTCACGGTTCTTGTTCTGGATTCCAGGCCATAGGGTTTGAAAACCGTCCGAACCGTTCAGTTCGACTGTCTCGGTTCGGTTCGCGTGTGTTTCGTTCGGTTCATGCGCTGCTCCTTTTTCTCATGGGCGAAGCGTTTACATTCCCGAGCAGAAGGTGGCGGTACTGCGACCAAAGCCAACCACCAGTAGTAAACAAGAAGAAGAAGAAGTGAAGCAGCTTAGCCGGGTGTAGCAGGGAAAAAAATCAGTTGTTGTGGAGAATTGTGTGGGTATGGCGAGTGGGAAAGAACAGGCGTTGGAAGACGCGCCAGCTAGGCCTGTCGCGTTAATCAATAAATCAATTAATCGCACAATAAATAAAAACTATCCACGTCATTTCATTTATCGGCTATATCGTCTCTGCCTGTGCTATCCACTGACCCCTCCCCTTCCTCATTTTTGAGGAGTGAGGAGTTGACTATCGCATCAGGTAGTCAGCGCGCATCATTTTGTACTTCTGCAGCTTTAGAGCCCCGTGAGGAGTTAGAGGAGTTAGCGAGGTAAAAAAAAAACACATCTTATGTTGGGGGAAAGCTCGAAATGGAACTGGTTTGAAAGCCGAGCGCAACAGCCCCAGTGTGGGAGTATTGCGGATTCAAACCAAATGAACGAGGCGAACCGCTGAACCTATGCTAGCCAGTATGTCGCATTTGTCATAAAACAGTAGCAACTAAGAGCAGCAATACAACCAACCTACACATGCACCTTAAGCACAGACACCGAATAAAGTTTCTCCAGCTGGAAAAAAAAAGTACAAGCGGTGGCCCGTCTGTGTCTTCAAGTTTGCGACAGTCCACCATCACTGAAAATCAGTGTAAAAAGGTCTTCAAACAATATTATCGTTCATCGCAATAATTTTTGAGACAATTAATCTTTCTGCAAAATTTGTTATCGTGACAGGCCTAGCGCCAGCAGCACTTTATAGGTTTGCTGTATGGGACCACTTTACATTTAGAGTGACCTACGATGACGGCGGAAAGAAAGTTGTGGATAAAAGTGCAACAGTGTGCAAGCATTGTGCAACACGTTTTGTTTATGCTAACAGCAACACGACCAACATGTCAGGCTAACAATCAACATATACTGAACCAAAAACCGTGACCACGAAACCATGAACCGAACCGAACCGTGGATTTTGTGAACCGTTCCACCCCTATTAATTATATGGAAATCCATCTAGAGCTGCGGCTATACTAAACACTGCAACTAGCTAGGGTGCGTTGTTTTATGAAATAAAATATTTTATAAGAGAATAAATTATGCTTTGAATCCGCTTTATTAAAGCTATACAACAGAGAAAACAAGCCACTGATACTCTGGTATATTGAATCCAACTGATTCTGTGAGAGTAGGATGGATGATAAAACATCTGCCCTGATGTGATCCAAACATAGTTTGCTGTATCGGTTTGGACAACACAGAAACTTCGGTTTTTGTCTAATCGATTTACTTTCCGGATCAAAATTTGACGCAAAACTGGGTCCTTCGGATTATTAAACATTCTTCTTCCCAATCCAAAGCCATTGGCAGCACTACAATACATGTAATGAGGTTTTAACGGTCCTTTTAGAGTGCTTAACACTGCGTGGAGTGGCGTTTCTATACACCCGCCCCAGGACGTCTGATTACACAGCTGGGTTAGGTCATGTGACTGCTCTAGAGGCGCCCAGCATACTGTAACATTCTCTTGATTTTTATTACTTGGAGAATTTTAGCCCGATTTAGACCAGCCACAGAGAAGAGAAGGGATAATCTACCATCACACACAATGAAACTGCTCTAGACGCACTCCTTTTTATTTGACCTTTAATATCGCCGCCTAAAGGGCTGTAATTAGAAAATAAATGTCATACTCTCATTTAAAAACTAAATTAAGGACCTCTGTGATTTGAAATTAGCTTTTAGTTAAACTGTGAATTTATTTCAAATTCAAATAGCCGTAAACCCAGCCCAATCTGAGATCATGAATAAGGTAATGACAGTATTTTCTTCTGAGAGTTTTTAATCTCAGTATCAAAATACTGAGATTAAAAACTCTGCTTTATTCCATAGGTGCTTGATGTCGCTAATTAGCATCATACCTAAAATGACTAGATTTCCACTGCAAAGCTCACATGAATAATCCATAATAATTTTTATAAAAACAGGGAGGATTCAGTTTGTGATCATCAAATCCGTGTATGGTTCGTTCTTTGGTTTTTTTCGTTTCAAAACAAAAACGAAAAAACAAAACAAGCATGTGTTTTTTTTTTTTTTTTTCTGTTTTTTAAAACCTAAATTGAAAAAATGAAAAATGGAATTAATAGAAAATCAACAGCGTTTAAGTTTTGTTTTGCCATCTAAATGAAAATTTAGATGAACAGTTTTGAAAACTGTGGTTTTCATTCTGTTCCTGCTTTGTGTGTTAACTTTCACAGTTGCTAAGCAACAGAGCGTACGGCGGTAAAACCTGCCGAAGGGTAGACCTGTTTGAATTCACAGCCAAAACTCTTCCGGTCTCCTTATTTTCAAGGACTTGGAAGGATCCAGTCTAGGTAGACCGCGTCCTTGGAGGATGCAGCCCAGGATTACAAACAGAGCTAAACGTTTCCATTTTGGTAGTGCTAACTGAAAAAGTTCTTCTTCTTGTGGATTGTAATGTCGGTTGGCAAGAAATTGAAGGCGTACATTACCGCCACCTACTGGTAACTAAAAAAGTTGTGTGTTGGGAGTACAGGTCTTCATTTCCGGTTCTGCCATAAGGTACGAAGTTAACTGATTTTTAAATTTTGTTTCAGTTTAACATGGGAAAAAAAGTCAGAATTCTGACTTTTTTTCCCATGTTAAATTCAGAATTCTGACTTTAATCTCAGAATGTTGGATCTTAATGTAGACGGGCACCATGAAAGAAGAGATGTGGAGCACTAAGCTTCACTGACAATGATGTGAGTTGTTTCAGAGGGCCAGTGACACACTGGTGGAAAATGACGGAATTAGGCAACTTTTTACGTGCAACTTTTTTTTCGTTTTAAAAACGGAAAAACAAAAAAAACACATGCTTGTTTGTTTTTTTTGTTTTTGTTTTGAAACTGAAAAAAAAAAACAAAGAACGAACTGTACACGGATTTCATCAGAACCCTGTGGTTCTAAATCTTCAGTTTTTCCCATTCAGCCTCAGCGGTTTGGTTTCTCTCTGTGAGAACTGATGAACATGGACTGCTTCTATGTTTGCTTCTGGATCAGCAGGAGGTCCAGAGAAGACCGGAGCCCCAGCGTGGAGATCATCTACGAGGGAACCCTCACCGCCGGCACCGCGCAGCCCCCGGCACGCAAACGGCGGCGGAAACGCCACCGCAGGACGCAGCCCACCAGGTACAGCAAGCAGTGGGCGGGGTCAGGGACCTTGGTCTGCTTAAACGTTCATTTTGGAGTCGGTCTTCTAGAGATGTTTTCTAAAATTAAATAATTTTAATATTTGCTTTCTTTTCTACCGGAAAACATTAAATACATTTGATTTCAAATGTTTTTTTAGTTTCATTGTTCAACAGATGATTGATGGTTATTCCTTGTTTCCTTAAAACTCTTATTCTCTTTTGGTTTATCTATATTTCACTTCTTTGATTTTAGTTTTAATGATGTTTTTATCATAGAGACGCACTGATGGCTTATTTGTTATTAATCTGGCTGAGGTTCGGTACTGCTGCTGCAGCTGATGAAAACTTGTTCATTACTCAGGATTCAATCGATTAGTTTGGGATCTTTAGAGAAATCAGATCAATATTCAGTCAAATATTTGATTTAAATAACTTCTGCTTCTTTTATAAGTCATAGAAATACATGAGAAAGAGTAAATGCAAGAAAATACATTTTTAAGAAGGAAAATCATTGTTTTCTTGCTTAAAATGTGACATTAAAGCCTTTGGCTGATGTGAACTTGACCATTTGTACCAAAAGATGCTTCAGCAGTGAAAACGCTAAAAAACGCTTTTTTGGCCAATTCTCCGGTCATTGTGCATCATGCGTATAGGGGGTAATGAGGGAAGATCAGCCTCTCTGGATCACCTCCCCATCAGGAATCGTGACGTCGGGAGAAAATTCAGTTGGCGGTCGTGAGGTGTTCGTGGACAAATCCAGCTTTTGAAGCAGAGCTACGAGCGTCTACCATTTAAGAGAATCTTAAGCACTGTCCATGTGCAAACATGGGAGTTCTTCTTCTTCCAGATTGACGAGTAATGAGGAGTCCAACATCTGGGTTTGGGACGTACACTGTGAGCAGTTAGATCGCATCAGAGCGTCGGGCCGCACAGTTTGAGAACATACGTCGTGAGTTAAAAAAACAATCCACTGGACTCTGTTTCCAAGTTTGAAGACGTTTTGCTTCCCATCCACGGGGTTCCCGCAGGTCCTTAAAAAGTCTTAAAAGGCATTGAATTCTTCAAAATAAAACTAAGGCCTTAATTGGAATTAAAATGTCTTAAATCAGTCTTTCGTAGGTCTTAATTTTTAAAACATCGTAAATAGGATTATTTTTATCACTATTTATTTTTGTAATCTAAATAAAATGTTAAAATTTACCTTTTTTTTTTCTTTTTATAAAAAAAAAACGGCTCGCCATTATTGCTTTCGTCTCGATAGTGGAACCAATAAAAGCGTTGTTGCAGCCGGGACATTTGGGAGATGTGCCATTTACTTTTTGTCTGGAAAATATGAGCAAGTGTAAATGTAACCAAAATTGTTTTCTCCATGGCTGAAACCAGGGAACATACATGAGGCACAGTGGATTTAGTGCAAGAAGTCATTCAAGCTCAGAACGATGGGAATTAAGGCAGTGGAGTCGCACATGCGAAGCACTAAACACAAAACGTCAAAATGGAGTTACTGAGAAACAGCCGGTATTTCTCAGTTTAGTTCCACCCTTGTCTCTGCAACGCCTCCACTTATCACCAAATCAAACATACTAAGAAAACCATACAATGAAAAATAGCTGCAAAAAAGACTTAGCACTGGTTATGTTGTGGCTTTAAAACTGATTTGTTTTGTTCCCTGCTAAAACAAAGTTTGTGAATTCAGTTAAATAATTGTTAAAATATATCTGTCATTTGTGTGTTTTTAGCTTTCTTCCTGTATGGGAAGCTTTTCAAAATTTGAAACATTAGTGTAGTGGTTTATGTTAAAATAAACCTTTGGGTTAAGTTGTTGCAAGCAGGTTTTTCTTGTGTTTCTTGTGAATTTGGTTTTAAATTTTTATTTCAAGTGGCATTAAAAAGTCTTAAAAAGTTTTGAATTCAACTGGCCTTATGCTGTAGGAACCCTGCATCCAGGAAACGTTTTCAATTCAAAATGTCAGAAATAGTGTTGAGTTCCAGGCTTTATACAGCAGCCCAACAAAGCCTTGTTTTTGGTTTAGGAAAAGCAAGGCAAATGTCTGATATTTTGAATTAAAACAGCTTCCTTGATGGGGAGCGAAGAGTCTTCATACTTGGAAACAAAGTCCAGTGGATTGTTTTTAACTTTTTTTGGAATGACTATGACCTGGATGACTGAGGAACTTCACCAGCATACATTGTGAGCTCTGAACTTTTAAACCCTGCGGTTTTCTCGTACAGTTCGATCTGTATCTGAGTACAATGACTGGAAATATTGTACAGTGTATGCCCGGCTTTAAGCTTCTAACATCGACATGGGAAAGATCAGCCTTCTATCAGTGCAGAACCAGCAGCTTCTGAAGGGAAAAAAGGCCAAAAAGCTAAAATTAAATGAAAAGATCAGATTGGATTCTTTAACAACTTTGAATCTATGGCTGAAACAATTAATCAGATTGATCTTAATTAATCAATTATTGACATAATTGTCAACTAATTCAGTAATTGATTCATTGTTAAAGGTATTGTGGAGAATTAAAAAAAAAAACCCGCCCTCTCCTCTATAAAAATAAATGCGCTTGCAAGAGCATGCACAAGCCCATTTCTCTTCGTGCACGCTCTGTTTAAAATGTGCTGTTCACATAGTTCACACAAACTCACTGTGTCCACACACAGCAGGGACTGTATAGTGAACTTTATAGTGAACTTGCTTAACTGACCGTTAGGACAGATGATCACTACTTTTTGCTCTGTTGGTCACATAACTCCTCCTCTTCATTGCTGTCGGGTAGCAGCAGCCTATGGCCACAGCGGGCTGCTGTGACAGAAAATCCCATAATGCTTTGCGAAGAGAGCTCTTGGTGCAAAGCATTCTGGGATATATATCTGCCTCTTCTGAGGCCTTTCTTTTCTTCTCATACTTGGTAGACACTTTTTCTCTTACGACCCTCGGCCATTTTCAAAGAAGGTGAGAAAGGTGAGCTTCAATGATTCTGAAACCGAAGCTCACTACAGATATAAACCTTCAAATGCGCACAAAAATACAGCTAATGGGGACGAGCACGTAGGACGGCCTTACGTAAACATATTACCAGAATGACTGACAATAAGAAGGACCTCTTATTTAGATGATCCACCCGGAAATAAACGGTTGTCCTTTAACTGGAGCATAGAGCCTCTTAAACAGGCCTCTAGCTGACAGAGCAACCGACATAAGATCAACAGATTAATCTATTTGCAAAATAATCGTTAGTTGCAGCCCTTCTTTAAAGTCATACAGTAAATAAATTGTACTTGAAGAGACGTAATCAAGTCCAAATAATAAAGTTCTGATGCTTTTTAGCTACTACTAGCCACAGCTGCTTTACTTATAGTCAGGATTTAGTTCTATAAAGTCTGAGGTTTCTAATGGGCTTTCATGGTGTTTCAGGGTTAATTTAGACAAGCCTTAATATTTTCCATTTTTTCTTTGTATAATCACCTATAAATCAGACATGATGACATTTAAAATAGTGGTTCCACCTGAAAAATGTTCCTCAAAGCCTTCCTGTCGTACAAATACAAACAACAGTATTTCCAATTTATAGTTTGGGAGCTGGACTTGTTTTGATTCAAATATGGAATATTAGTCAGAATTTGCTCCAAAGACACTCAGGACTTTAGGGGTTAATGGACGTGTCTCGTCTAGAAGCGTCTTCCTGTTCTGACCCGGTTCTGTTTCTGTCCCAGCTCCCCAGTCATCATCACCCTGGACAGCGACAGCAGCCATGACGGCGCCAGCAGCAGCCCCCTCAGCAGCCAGCAGACCATCGACTTCTCAGACATCCCCCCCCTCCCCCCGCTGCCCACGGCCGGCGGAGGCGGAGCCACGGACCCGGACGTCGGGGAGCTTCCTGTCGACATCCTGGATCGAGGGTCTGACGGGTCGGAGTCTGAGGCGGTGGGCCGGTCCGGAGCGGCCCGTCCGGTCAGCCTGGAGAACATGGAGGACAGCATCTCGCTGCTGGAGACGTCTGATGACCAAACAGCTGCTGAGCCAATCAGAGCGCCCGGTGCTGAGGGAGCCAATCAGGATCAGAGGGAGCCTGCTGCTGCTGCTGCTGAGCGGAACGGGCCGAAACCTCTGAGCAGAACCGACCCAGAGGAGTCTCCGTCTGACAGGAACCTGCTGGAAGCCATCCTCCACGACCTGAACCGGGTCACCTCACACACGGACCGGGACTCTGGTTCTGGCTGCCCTGCTGAGAAAATGAAGCGGACCCAACAGGAGAACATCCAGAACTCTGACTGCTGGCTGGAGGAAAGGACGGGTTCTGGTCCAACTCCAAACATCAGCCGTCAGCAGAACCAGGAGTCCAGCTCCCCGATCAGAACCTCCCCTACCATCAGAACCTCCCCTACCATCAGAACCTCCCCTACCATCAGAACCTCCCCTACCATCAGAACCTCCCCTACCATCAGAACCTCCTCAGCCCTGAAGGACAGCAGGGAGGCCCCTCCCCTCCTCAGACGGGCCAGCCCGGTCCGATCCAACCTCCGGAACACGCCTCCTCCTCTGAAGCACAAAGACGGTGGGAGTCCACAGCGCGGCGCCGCCTGTCCTCAGAACGCCGGGCCTCACTGTCCCTCTGGTTCTGACCCGACTATCGGGGTGTCCCCGGTTCTGATCCAGCACCCCATCCCCCCCATCACCACCCTGAGGAACCCCCTGACCAAGGCGATGAACTCCTCCTCAGGTTCTAATCCCTTCCCAGCTCCGGGTCTGGGTTCTGTGGCTCCAGCAGAACCAGGACCCAGCAGGGACCATCTGAAGCTGACTCTACCGGCTGACCTCCGCTCCCGGTTATCGGACCTCCACCCGCTCCACCGCAGCTCTACCTCTGGAGGCCCGGCGGGCCCGTTGGGTCTGGACGCTCCCGGCGCTGTCCATCTGTCCAGCTGGGGGGTTTACTCAGGGATGAACTCTAGTTATGCGTTCCCGAGCCGGGGGGGGTCAGAACCACCAGCAGGCGGCGCCTTTTCTGAGATGCAGAACTTTGGAGTGGACCTGCCGTCGCTCTCTGGCTCCGCCTCCAACCACATGGCCTTAGCCCCGCCCCTTTCCCATCACTCCTCTGGGTTCATCTTACCAAACTCTAACTCCAGCGCTCAGTCTCAGGCCCGTTCTGACCGGTTCCAGCGCCCCGAGTCCAACCCAGCCCCTCAGAACCACTGCTCCTTCCCCCAGCCTGAGGTCCATCCTCACTCTGACTCCTCCCACCTTAAAGCGGCAAACAGAACCTTTAACCAGACCGCAGACAATCCGCTGTCTGACCCGCAGTCATAACACCGCTCCTCACAGGTTCCCCCTCCCTAAAGGTTCCCCCTCCCTAAAGTTTCCCTTCCTTAAAGGTTCCCCTTCCCTAAAGGTTCCTCCTCCTTTAAGATTTCCTCCTTCCTAAAGGTTCCCTTCCTTAAAGGTTCCCCCTCCCTAAAGATTCCCTTCCTTAAAGGTTCCTCCTCCTTTAAGATTTCCTCCTTCCTAAAGGTTCCCTTCCTTAAAGGTTCCCCCTCCCTAAAGGTTCCCTTCCTTAAAGGTTCCCCTTCCCTAAAGGTTCCCCCTTCCTAAAGGTTCCCTTCCTCAAAGGTTCCCCTTCCCTAAAGGTTCCTCCTCCTTTAAGATTTCCCCCTCCCTAAAGGTTCCTCCTCCTTTAAGATTTCCCCCTCCCTAAAGGTTCCCTTCCTTAAAGGTTCCCTTCCTTAAAGGTTCCCCTTCCCTAAAGGTTCCTCCTCCTTTAAGATTTCCCCCTCCCTAAAGGTTCCCTTCCTTAAAGGTTCCCCCTCCCTAAAGGTTCCCTTCCTTAAAGGTTCCCCTTCCCTAAAGGTTCCTCCTCCGTTAAGATTTCCCCCTCCCTAAAGGTTCCCCCTCCTTAAAGGTTCCCCCTAAAAAATTCAGAGGAGATCTGATGAAAACCCAAAAGAATTTTATTGTTTCAGTTTTTTTGTCCATACGTTGTTTCTAAATGTTTGACTTGTCTTTTATTTCATAACCAACATCAAAACATATTTATACATTTTTAATAATGTTTTTTTTTATCTTAAATGAAATGAAATGTTTGTGGAAAGACAGAGCTTCTCAAAATGAAGACCTTAAATGTCGGGGTATTAATGGAATATTGTTATTTTCAAAGCAAGGGTTGGTTTGGATCGGCCATCTGTCTCTCCAGATGTTTTCAGCTCTGTAGAAATGTGGAGCATAGACTCTGAATGAACTCTAATGGTTCGTCACACCAGAGGCGGTGGATTCACATAGAGCTCTATAGAAACCGCACAGGAAACGGGTCAGAGACGAACAACCTGCAGGACTCACCGACATCCTGGCGTTCAGCGCCTGCAGTATGAACGCACCATAAAGCCTTCTTCCTACTGTGACGGCTTAGAGGCCAACGTCTGACCAGAGCCATCGCTCAGAACAAACCCATGAAATGATGCCAGGTTCTGGAAGGGTTCTGAATAAATGTTTGATCAGAAAACTGTCTGGTTTTGTCATTTTTGTCACTGAAACAGCTCATAGCTGCCATTGGAAAACAATAAATACACATAAAAACAAATACAAGCTGAAAACGCACACAGGCTACATACAGACTTGTTAGCATAACATACAATACTGAAATAGGCAGAACACAAAGTTATTGCAAACTTCCCTTACAGATCTGTTTAAAATGTTGATTTAAATGTTGTTGGGGTGGTTCTATAGGAGCATTTAAAGAGGTTCAGTTTGGTTTTATTGAATTCTGAATACGGTTGTCACGATACTAAACTTTTTAACTCTATACCAATACTAAGGAAAATATTCGATACCACAATAAAAAAAACAAAGACTCAAATTCAACAGAAATATTTTCATTAATAAATAAAATACAATAAATAAATACAATAAGAATAATATTTTGAGGTTGTATGGTGTGCACAATATTAAGCAAGCTTGATAAAAAACTTATAAAATTAAAATGAAGTGTTCCTTCCTTGGCTATGCTTTGCACACATAACAATGACACTAGCCAAACTGGCTAGGAAACAAAAATAATTCTCAGCAGCTGCACCTCTTAAAAAAAAAAAAAAAGTCTGAAACTGAAAAGTGTGTAGAATTATTCAATCACAGTGTTCAGAGAGTGCATTTTCCACTATTCTGCACTTTAGATGAATGACTGTTTAGATGCCACTGGTGGTAGCACTATTGATACTTTTAAAAACGAGTATTGTATCCGGATACAACGTTTCAGTATCGATACTTTTGACAACCATAATTCTGAACCTTCTGCCAAAAGGAAATGGCTTGTATTCCTTATAAAGGATGTGGGACGGGTCCAGCAGACTGCTTATAGATGGACTGAAGGGAGGGCTTCATTCCTCCCCATCACCTTCATAGCAGTCTGTACCAGGAGCTGCAACTTTGATTTGGACTGTGGAGAGAGACACTAAACTGACACTAAACACCCTCACTATGCATAAAAAATACATCCTTTGCTGTAAACATCAAAATGTATTCAACATGATCTTCCCATCTTAAAAGGTTATCCAGGTGGATACCCAGATACCTATAAGAGGTGATCTGTTTGATCTCCTCCCTCTGATTGGACAATGGGGTATGAACCCTGATGACCCCAAACACCATCTCCTCAGAATGTCACACCACTAAGCAAATGTTGGTAACCTCAGGGAGGTGCATCGACGGTCTGAGTTCTGGTGAAGCAGGCTGAGAATGGCACTGTCGTTAGAAAAAAAGAAAAAAACTGGTTGCCCGGGAGACTATTCGTGGTGTCATTCATGTAAGGTGTGAACGGGACAGGCATCCTGAGGTACGCCTGTACTGATGCATCTGTATTCTGAAACTGAGTCATTAATCCTGATAATTTGTTTTAAAAAAAAGAATAAAATGACTTAATAATTAAAGGATTAATATTCATCTGGGTCATTTTCTGTAAGAGCAGATGAGGCTGTAATGCGTTAAAAGCAGAACTATGATGCTGAAGAGCCAGGTGGGTGATGCTATTAACTGCATCGTCTGTATTCTTTCCCTGCCTATAAGCAAACTGAAGTGGGTCTATACTTTCAAAGCATTTCATAACAACAGAAGTTAGAGCCAGTAGTCTTTAATCGTTGTTTTCTAAAGGACAGGGTTTCTTTGGAATGGGTATGATGGTCGATTTTTTCCAGAGGGCAGGAACCAGATGGGAATCTGCTGACCTCTGAAACACAGAGCACCATGCTGGGGTCAGCTCTGCAGCAAAGGTCTTTAGGGAAAAGGATGCTATCCAGGCCTGCAGATTTCCTTTTCTCGCATCTAAGTGCATTGTAAAACGGCTCCGCTCTGATCGGCATACAGTGGGAACATCAGACCCCGGTCGACCCGTTGATTTACGTAACGCCATTCAGTCTAATTTACGGACATAAACACGCTGCGGCAACTCTGCTTACATTCCATAAACATGGGGCAGCACTGGTGAGAGGGATACGGATGGACGAAAAACAAAAAAAAACAATACAGCTCACTTAGTACGTCTAGGCTTCCTTCCATGCTGCTCTCCATTGTTTACATTCCTGATTTCTGTCACTCTGGTGAAATCATCAAGCGTGATGCCCAATGCCAGCGCCATATTGTTTTCATAAAAACAGGCGTTTCTCCTTCGATCTATCCATATTAGCCTTACCTGCGATGACCTCTGACCTGTCAGCTTAGCATCAATTTCCATTCCTCACCTCATCGAATGCTCTAACATGGACTGGATCAGCTGCTTCTCTGGAGTGTTGCTTGGATCTTTCTATCACTCCAAATCAGGCATCCTCAAAGTCGGTCCTCGAGGGCCGCTGTCCTGCAGGTTTTCAAGGTTTCCCTGCTTTAGCACAGCTGATTATGATGATTGCAGTTGAGCAAAAGCCTGTTAATCAGCTTTCAATTAAAATCAGCTTTGCTGGAGCAAGGAAACCTCTAAAACCTGCAGGACAGCGGCCCTCGAGGACCGACTGTGGGGATGCCTGCGCCAAATCCTCCAGTTTCTGCTTTTATAGACAATAAACAGTTAATAAACAGACTTCCTGATCATCCTCTAAGTGTTCTAACACCTCTCTGCACATGATTAACATTTTTCTTTAATCACCAGTGAATCAAGAGGTTTATGAAACATTTTATTGAGGCTTTAAACAACACATTCATGTGAAACAATCTAAGCTGCTCAGGGAAGTTTCTGCGTTTTACCAGCAGGTGGAGCATGGAGAACGCCTCTGTGTTCTTCCTCCTGTGTTTACCTCCTCCTCCTCTTCCTCTGGGAAGCAGGAGGAAACTAAGAGGCCTAATGAGCCTCGGGGGATCGGTGGAGACGGAGTCTCTGCTGCAGTAATTAGGCCCATCAGGGGGCCATTAACTGGCTGTTAAACACACAGCCAGGTGGATCAGAACCAAGGCCCGGTTCAGCAGTCAGTGACAGTGGGATGCAGATGGGATCCATTCCAGAAATCTGGGGAACTGGTTTCTCTTATTTAGCAGAACTATATAACTCATGGAAGGAAGGTTTTCTCTCTCTGGTAGTTTTATGTTTTACAGACAGAAATGAAGGAATCAGCTCTCTGACCTCATCTGTTGCTTCGTAACGTCTGTCAGCTGGTATGGAGAGGTGGGCTACAGTTCTGTGGTTTAATCCATCCAGAACCACAGCGGATGGAGCGGCCTCTGCCTCATCCACAGCTGAGACAGCAGGAACAACCAGACAAGGTCCTGCACCAGTAATGGACCCTGATCCAAAGTTAACTGCATCGTTGAAATCCCAAACATTTCTTGGATGGAGGAATCAGGAGAACATGGGTCCTTCATCAGATGAGCTCTAGAGTCTGATGCTCTTCATCGTTCAGTCTTTTAAGGTTCTGATGGTCAGTTTTCCTTCTTTATTCAGCTGCTCATTCTCTCTCAGTCCACTTCTTGGTTTCCTTCTTCTCTGTTTAGTGGAATCGGTCAAGTATTAGATTCAGTTTGTTTCTATAGCACCAACTCACAACACATGTCATCTCAAGGCACTTTACAGAGCCAATTCAATCAGATTGGTTCAAAGTTTTCTATCTAAGGAGGTCTAATCTATGATCAAAGGTGTTGATAGCAGCAGCACAGCAGATATTACTCTCTAGGATGGAGTCACAGCCAAACAGGAACAGACCAGATGAAGCTACTATGGTGAGAAACAGCAGAGAGAGCATAAAGTTAGAAGTTAAACTAACAACTAAAGCAGATTGGGATAATAGAGATACAACGAAGAAAATGATGAAAAAGGGGTCCCTATGTCCTCCAGCAGTCTAAGCCTATAGCAGCATAACTATAGAGATAGCTCAGGATAACCTGAGCCACTCTAACTATAAGCTTTATCAAAAAG